ACATGTTTTAAATCCTAGATCTCATTCTTCTATCCTTTTATGCTGTTCTTTTCCAAGAATGGAAAATAAACAGTAACCTGTTCGTGTGTGTATGTACAGTATATCAATATCAATATCATGGTTTAGTTTTGCCTGTGGCTCCTCATTTCCTGTCTTACCAGCTTCAGCTTTTCCAGGAAATGCTTCTTCATTAACAGGAAATAATATATTCATCCCACTGATGTTCTATACTGCTGTATAATGTTCCATGAACAGAGTTTTGACCAACTCTAGCTGAGTTTCAGAACTGGCAACCCTCAACTGACAGCTTTGATAAATCTTTCTATGATAAAGTAGAGTTGGCCTTGGATTTTGTTCCCCAAGTGGCCCCAATCTGTTACCTACACCAACCTAAGTTGATAAAAGTTCCCAGGAATGTTAAACTCCCTGCAAAATAAGAGTCTACACTGCAGATTCTTCTGGAAACCTTGAGATGGAAAAAGGGAAGTCCTCCTTCAAGAATACTTTATTGGATCTAATTGTACTGCCCTTTGATATGGAATCAAAAGCTGAATTTCTGCCTATTCCTATGAAGTGGATGGTAAAACTCAATTAATAGCCAGCTGGAGAAGGGCCCAGGTGGGAAATGGAACTCCTTGTGAGTAAATCTCAACTCATGAATGTCTATGAATAGTCTATTGTGGTGTATGGACTTGATGTAAGGAATCAGCAGAGGTACATCACACAAACAGTGCACATAAGTGCAAAAATTCTACCTTCTATCTAGGCACATTTAACCAAAATCCTCTTTTCTTTTGTAATAACTTCTAAAGATAATTCTCTTTAATCAAAAGTAATGCAAACTAATAGAAAGAAAATGCAGGAGGATTTTTCTGCTGAATACAAGTAAAGATTATACCAAAGGAGGAGATCAAAATAAATGGGCAGTGGTATCAGTGGAACTACTGTAGGAGAGAAGGAAGATTCTGTTGTGGCATTTTACACAAAACCTCCTTAGCCAAAAAAGCTAACTGTAGCTATTACTGCTATGTACAGGATACTTAGGAAGTGATTGCAGCTCTATGGGAGAAATAGTGCCTCTAAGACACAAATAGGGCTGAGAAAGAGGGAGGAGTGCCTCTAAGACACAAATAATCTGCAAATGGGAAAGGTTGTTACCAACTTATTAAGGAAATGGAATTTTAGCCAACCATGCAACTCAACCTTTTGAGTGTTTGTTGTACAGAAAAAGAAATGCAAAAGCTTTAAAGAGACCCTGCGGTGATGAACTCACTAATAAAGGAGCACTGGAGAGAATCATGGGCATTCTGCAGAAACTTCCAGCTTTTGTCAAAAGAATAAAAGCAATGTAGGACTGTCATATCAAAAGCTCCACCCCTTTGGGGCATGAGAGTGACATCACGAGACATGTACAAAAGGGGGAGAACATTAAAGCATCAAAAGGAAGACTACACAAATCTTGCTTTCTTGATTCTCTTCTGCAGTCTAGGGGATTGACGGTCCAACTGATAACCATCTAATCATTTATGATTAAAAAAACAAACAGCCAGATCACAATGATAAACCATAGTCTATACATGCCCCAAATCTGTTTGCTGTAACTCAGCATATTTAGGGGTGAGAACTGATTCTGAACATTCAAACATTAAGTAGGCTGCAATAAGCTTAGACTACGTCAACCATGACGTCCCCATTTTGACTGTTTACAGTGTGTGTCTGTGTATCCAGGTGAATTGCTTTGCTATTAAAATATTCCTTTGATATTAATCAATAAATATATTTAACATCTGAGTAACAGAGAAAAGTTCACTGTTGAGTTCTCTTTCTAAATCTTTGCCAGTAATTTGCTAACATACCTGTTGTTCTAACTTTTGGGGAGAGAGGGGAGAAAGAAAGATCAAATGATTTTTTGTTATTAATAATCTATGTTGCATCAGAGTCTTGTGACCAGGGAAAAAATTCAGAACTCTGGCAACAGCCGAGAAGTATTTTGAACGAAAATAAATGATTTGTTTAGTAAAAGTGTTCATGAGTGGGTAAATTGCAGGTCTTTTCAGGGCCACAGGGATATTTTTCCTTCAACTGTCTGAACGTGGATCTATTTGTTAAAAAGAGACTGTCCAACAAACATTCAAAAAGTAATGCTATCTAGACTTGGAGCCACAATAAATTATGAGACTAGACAATTGGAAAAACCTTTCCTGATCTGCATCGCTTCGGCTGGGTTCATGTATGCATTTGTGAGAGAGAAAGAGAGTGAGAAAGAAAGCTCATATTTTGTATATTTAAGTAGAAAGCCTTGTTGTTCATCATTTGCTAATGGTACTGTAAAAGTAGATTTTTAAAAAAATTCTGGGGCCTATGTGGGGGCTTGCAATCAAGAGAGAGATGCGAGATAAATGCTATGAGAAAGGAAAATGAAAATAAGGAAATGCAAATAACCAAACAATCCATAGATGATAGGTCTGTCTGCTCCCTGGCATACTAATTTTTACTGTGTTTGTGTATGCTTGTATTTATATATCAATACAAATATTCATCTTTGTTGGTATAAAATGGCACCATCTGATTATTCTGGATTTGAATCTGTATTTTCTTAAATTCACAGAATAGATGGGTGCTCCTTCTGCATCTGTGATGGAATGGAATTATGAAGGCCAGACTCAGCGAGAAAACGTTTTCTTTCATCTCCTGAGGCACGAGGGAAAGATAAGAGGATGAGACTGGCACCTCCCTGAGGAATTCACAATGTTGTGGCTGGGATTTATTGGGGGGTGGGGTTTCAGTCTGGGAAGGTTCTTGC